GGTTTCCCCTCCTGGCGTTTTATGGGAACGTAGAACACATAGGATTGGAGCCACAGGGGACGGACAATCTATAGAGACAGTGTAAACACCATGGGTCTGGCCTGAACGGAGACGAGTCTGGCAACCAGCACAAACACAGCGCCCAGGACATCCTTACCTTATGGCCCCGTCTGGGATGCGAGAGGCAACGGCTCGCCTGAAACATCCTCGCAATCTGTGCCGACAGCGCGGGGTGCTGGGGCGGTAACACATGCAAACCAATGAGAGACCACGTTTCACAAACGCCTGCCTTGGGAACATCCGGCGGCACGCTTCGAACCGGGGGGCGGGCCCGCCCCCCGCAGCTCTCGGCGCCGTTCAAATCCCCCCCTCCTCGGTGCCGGCGCCGGCGCCGGCGCTGGCGCTGGCGGCCGCCAGCAGCGCCGACGGCGGGGACGCAGCGACAATGACCAGAGGCAGGCAGCCCAAAGGGGGGGTGGGGGGTTTCAAACCCTCCCATTGGCGCCGGCGCCGGCGCTGGCGGCGGCCAGCAGCGCCAGCGCTTGCGCCGGCGACGGCGGGGACGCAGCGGTGACTACCACCACTATCACCACCACCATCACTACCACCACTTCCGCCGCCCCAATCCACCACCGCCACCACCAACCCACCACACAACCACCACCACCACCACCACACCCACCACCGCCACCAACCACCACAACTAACCAACACCAACACCACCACACAAACCCACCACCACTACCACCACCACCACCAAAACCACCACAATCTACCACACCACCACCACCAACAACGCCACAACCACTGCCACTACCAGCAGCACAACCCACCACCACCACCACCACCACCACCACCACCAACACCACAAACCACCACCACCACACCACCACCACCACCACCACCACCACACCACCACGTCCAAACCACCGCCACCACCACAACCCACCACCACCACCGCCACCACCACAAACACCACCACACCACCACCAAAGCACCACCACCACCACCACAAACCAACAGCAGCACCACCACCGCAAACCACCAACACACCACCACCACCCACCACCACAACCACCACCAACACAACAAACCACCACACCACCACCACCACCACCACCATAACCACCACAATCGCCACCACCACCACGACAATCCACCACCACCACCACCACCACCCACGTCAACGGTCCCCGCCGCCGCCGCCCGCCGCCGCAGGCGCCGGCACCGGCCCAGAACATGAGACCGTCGTCCCCGCCGCCGCCGCCGCCGCCTGCCGCCGCCGACGCAGGCGCCGGCCCGAGGAAAGAGCGGGGAAAGGGGGGGGGTTCGAACCCCCCCGCCTCTCTTGGGCGCCCGAGTTATCCGGGGTAACTCGGGTCCGGGGTAACTCGGGTTCGGATTCCCGAAAAAGGAACCCGAGTTATCCCTGACCCGAGTTACCCCTGATGATTCGGGGCTCTGACTCTCCGTTACGGCAGAGGGGGGGTCCGGTTCCAACACCCCCCACCCCCCCTCCAAGCGACCACAGAAAGCGCTCTCAAACCCATCAAGACATCACCGCAATCTGGGCGGCAACGGGGTGAGATATACCCCCTAGCGACTCCCCCACCCTTCTGGGGTTCGCCTGAGAGACATCCTTCAAATCTGCTCCCTCAGCTCGGGATCCTGGGGCCCAAACAGGCAAACCACTAGAGACATCCTCGGAACCATTTCGCGAACTGAAGAGTGAGGTACCCCCTGGCGGCTCCCCCCTAGAGGTGCTGAAACCAGCGCCTTGCCCGAAACATCTCAAACTCCGATCTGAACCTAAACACGTCTGGCCACCAAAACAGACAAACCGTTCTAGACACTCTCGCAATCTGGGCCCCCGGGGGCGTTGAAGCCAGCGAAGCGCCCGAAAGATACGGGGGATCCACATGATGATCATCATCATTATCATGATATTCATCATCAGCAGCACCAACATAATTTCAATACTCATCATCGTGATCATCAGCATCATCATCAGCATCATCATCATCACCATCATCATCATCGTCATCATTATCGTCGTCGTCGTCATCATCATCATCATAATCCTCCTCATCATCATCATCACCATCATCATCATCATCATCATCATCATCATGATCGTCATCATCATCATCGTCACAATCAGCATCATCATGATCATCATCAACAACATCATATACATCATTATCGGCATCCTCATCATCCCCATCATCATCACAATCAGCATCAGCATCATCATCACCATCATGAACATCATCATACACAACAACATCATCGCCATCATAATCATCATCATCAATATGACAATGCTTGTCATCAACCGCATCATGGTCATCGTCGCAAGTGTCGTCGTCATCTCCATCATCGACAACATTAGCATGCTCATCCTCATTATCATCAGCAGCATCATCATTATCATCAGTATCATCAGCACCATCATCACCAACATAATTTCCATCACCATCGCCATCAGTATCGCCCTCCTCATCACCATTGCCGTCACCATCATCAGCATCATCATCGTCAGCATCATTATCATGTATCGTTGGTATCATCCTCCTCCTCCTCCTCCTCCTCCTCGTCATCATCATCATCATCATCATCATCATCATCATCATCATCATCATCATCATCATCATACGAGAAGGGACGATGGAGGAAGTTGATGTGGGAGCGCCAGGGGCAGCTGGAGATAAGGGGGGGGTCTACCTCCTCTCCGCCCCCCTCCGAAGAGCCAGAGAGCGGGAGGAGAGGGCAGAAGGAAAGTGGGAGCGGGTGTAGAGAGAGAGAGAGAGAGAGGAAAAACCCCGAAATCCGAGGCGACGACAAGAAAACACACATCGAAGGAGATCAGGACCGCAACGCTGACCCCAATCTTCCAGCCGCAACTCTTGAGCCGGATCGTCCTGGGATGGCCCGGGGTCCGAACCCAGGTGGAAAACCCACGAGGAAAAAGTGCAAGGCCGTGATCTCAGGCAAGAGGAAGCGTCAGAAGAAAAGGGGGTGGGGGCAGGGTCGTTGAGGTGCTCCGTGTCCGCCTGGCTGGATGCCTCGTCGCAGAAGGCGTCTTGCGGGACGCCCCACTGGAGAGCCGCCGGGGTTTGCACGGGGGGCTCCGCGCGCGCGAGCTTCGCCCTCCGCCTCATTCTCCTCTTTTCTCCGCCCTTCCTCTTCTTTCCATCTCCTCCTTCCATGATCCTCCAACCCTCTGGGCCCCCTCTCCATCCTCCTCCTCATCTAAGTTCCTCCTCTCTCATACCGCTCCTCCTCTCTATCGTCGTGTGATGCGCATTCAGACATTTGTCACTACGTTTCTGGCTCGCCTGCAGTGTTAAACTTGCCATGGCGATGGAAGGACAGCTATTCCTCCTCTGCTCAAAGGGGTGCTTGCCTTGGAAAGAGAACTTCCAAGCAGCACGGCCAAATCCAGGGGGCTTCGGATGAGTTCGCGGTTCCCTAAGATTCGCCACCCTCGCTGTAAAAATTGCATACAAGGCATAAGCAAAGAAAGGAACCACCAGAAGAGTAAACGACAGTTTGGCAGGGATTCATCTGCCAAGCCAATCATGTACCTGAGCGTCGAGGCTTCGAGCACAACACCTGGAGGACGGCGATTAACCCTTGACTTCCAACTCAAACATACACAACACTGTAAACAAATACCATCCCAACCAACCTCAGCGTGTTCACGGCCTGAACAACAGTCAGGCTTGGTTGGAGGGGTCATCTATTCTACCTCTGACAAGCCCAATTAAGCCATAGCGTGAAAATCTTGGTGGACAACTGGATCAATCTTCAATTGTAAGACGGTGCCCTCCTGTAAATCGGGATCGGGGTGGGGGTGATTTTCAACGACATCCAACAAGTCCCTAGAAACGCTCCTATTGCCCGAGAAATGATCAGGCGGCTTCCGAGGACTCACCAAAACGACACCGACCGACACAGCCCAGCCCCCGAAAACGATGCAAGCTCCCCTTCCAGCGGGGTCTGTTTCTATACAGAATCTATACATACACAAATGTATCGACTCTTGAACCACGCTTAAGTTCCAACTGACTCTGGAGATGGTTGCGACATTGGTGGGGCCCATCCCGTGGTGCATTCCTGGTGACTCTAGCGTGAACGCTTGCCTCATCAGCGGGCGGATGCTGCGACGGTGAAGCAAAGGTCAGCTGTAGCGCACCGCCCCCCGTTACCCCCCCCCCCTCTCCCTCCGATGTCACTCCGTCGCCGTCTTCGTCGTCGCCGTCTTCAGCACGTGGCTCGGATCAACGGCTCTGGAGCATGGCGGGCGGGTGGCGTCCTCCTGTCGCTCCTCGTCGTCGCCTGCTGTCGTCGTCGTCGTCATCGGGTATAGCTCCAGGAGGGGGCTGTCTGCCTTAGGCTCTCGGGTAGCTTAGAGTCTACCCACTGCTCTAGGGTAGGCAAGGGTGGGGCCTACCCTATGCCCTAGGGTGGCCGACGGAAACCCTGCCCCAGGATCCCAAGGGACGGGCCAGGGGATGGCCAAGCGGTAGGGCCTATTGGTAGGCGTAGGGCAGCCCTAGAGGTGGGTCCTAGGAGGACCCTAGGGTGGTAATTCGATGTAGACCCTATGGAGATGCGTATGGTAGGCCTTGGGTAGCCCAGAGGGGTACGCCCCAGGGGTAGGCCTAAGGGTAGGCCTAGGGCAGGCCTGGGGGTAGGCCCCGTGGGTAGGCCTAGAGTGAGCCTATGGGCAGGAGAACGACGACAACGTCGTCGTCGACGACGGAGATGACGACGACGATGACGGGGGCATTATCGAGACAGTTGTGATACGTCTCTCGGGGAGGGTCTTAGAGGCCTCTGGGGTCGGCCGTGGTCCTGCATGGGACAAGCTAGTAGGCCTCTTGGGCCCTCCTGGGGCTGGCTTGGGACCTTCTTGGGGCATTGTTGGGCTCGCTTCTGATCTGTTTGGAGACCCTCGGGGGCCTTCTGGTGCCATCGTCATCATCATCGTAAGCATAATCGAAAGCATCATCACCATAGCCATGGTCATGTTCATGAGCATGTTCAACTTCGCCACGATCATCATTACAACCATCACACGCATCATCAACATCCTCGTCATCCTCATCATCCTCATCATCATCAACATCCTCATCATCCTCATCATCATCAGCATCATCAACGTCATCATCATATCGTCATCACTGTCATCCTCCTCATCGTCATCCTCATCATAATACACATCATCATCATCATCGCCACCATCATCAGCATCAGCATCATCATCATCAGTATCATCATCAGCATGACCATCAGCATCGTCATCATCACCATACTCAGCATCACCATCAAATTCATCAGCATCATCATCATCATCATCATCATCATCATCATCATCATCATCATTATCATCATCGTCGCCGTAGTCGTCATCGTCATCATCATCGACCCCACCACCATGACCATCATCATCGTCACCATTCCCATAGTCAGAACCATAACCAACACCACCATCATACCAATCCTTGTCCTCATCCTCATCCGCAGCCTCATCCTCTGACTCATCTTCGCCATCCTCAGCTGCATCGTCATCATCAACAGCATTATCAACATCAACAACATCATCAATAACATCATCAGCATCGTCATCAGAGCCGTCATCGCCATCAGCAATACCATCAACATCATCAACATCATCACCAACGTCATCGGCATATTCGCCATCACCATCACCGTCATCCTCACTACAACCGCCATCAACATCATTACGATCACCATCACCATCAACACAAGCCTTAACATCATTGCCATCAGCACCCTCATCATCATCACCATCATCAGCATCATCATCGACAACCACATCGTCGCCATCATCATCACCATCACCATCATCAACATAATATGCATCATCAACCTCACCAACATTGCCATCATTATCCGGGCAACGTGCTCCAGAATGACGTTCCTTTCACAGTGCAACGTCGCACACTGCTTGGAGCGGACTTTGACTTTCGGCGTGGGCTCATCGGAATAACAGGTGGGGCCACGTGTTCTGGAAGGATGGTTCCCGAGCACGATTGATGGAGAAGGCTGTCGGGGACTCATGGCAGGACAATGCGGAGGCCTCCCGGGAACTTCTGAATATGATCTCCGAGGGGCCGCTCAAGTTTTTGCAAGGTTCCTTTGGGGGCCTCTTGGGGCGTCTGGGAGACCTCGTGGGGGCCTCTGAAAGCCTGCTGGTGGCCCCGTGGGGCGGAGGGCTTGCACTGTCGGAAAAGCTTGAAATGTCGGTGCGCGCTCTCCCTCGGGGACCGCGCTGGGCGCGTTCCTGGGGCCCTCTGGCTCCGTCTTGGGGGCCTCCCAGGCCGTCTTGGGGCGAGCTGGGGGGCCTCCTGGGGCCGTCGTGGACTGCGGGCGAGCCGAACGTGGGAAACTGGGGTATCCAAGACAAAATCTGTGGCGCACGAACGATTGTGGTGTGTTGGGGCCCTCTTGGAAGCGGTTGTGGATGCCGCTTGGGGCGTCTGGCTCTCGGAGTTCCCTTGGCCCGCCTGGGAGGCCTCGTGGGGTGCCTCGTGGGCCGTCTTGGGGCGCTCTGGGGCCGTATCAGGAAACTACGTAAGACAGCCAGGGTCGTCTCGGGCCGATCTTGGGGCCCCGTGGGGCCGCCGTGGAGCGCGGGCAAGTCGGCAGGGGAGAAACTGGAAAATCATTGAAACCCGCACGGGAAATGCGTGAATGCAGTGTGTGTCGTGGGCCCTCTTGGACGTGCTTGTGGATGCCACTTTGGGCGTCTTGGAGGCATCTGGGGCTCTCTGGGCCTGTCTGTGAAGCGTCTCGGACGGCTCTCGGACCGGTGGAAAGGGTTCTCCGATACCCCAGAGCGGCCATGGCGACACGAGGCGGCTGGGCGAAGACCCCCGACCTGTACCCCGAAATGATGTCTCTGTATATCCATGTGTATATTCACATAAACATATATATATGTGTGCATATAGATATAAAGCACACGAATAATGAATATGAGCCCAGACGGGCCCGTAGCAAGAGCCGCGAAGGTCTGAATGAGACTGCGAAATCTGCGAAACCGCATCTTTCGTTTGGACACCTCTCGAATGCGGAGAGAAACAGCCAGCGACGAGCATGACCAAGACTGAACGCGGAAAAGTCGGTACCGATCTTGTGCATCGACCATCCTGGCCATCGTCACCTCGCGGATCATTGTCGCGGCAGTGGCTGGCATGGACCACGACCGAGATCGGCGTCGACAACATGTCGCGATATCTTTGCGGAGACAGCAAACGACTGCCACCACATCGAAGACACACCCCTGGGGGGACGCCGCATGCATGCCAGCACCCGTCAGGACACCCGAACCAACTGAGTACTGGTTGTGGTCGATGTGACGTCCCAGGACAGCTCGTGTCGGGGTCGGCGGGTTCTCCCCCGATGGGAAAAATCAGCCTGATGTTGGTCGTGGTGATTCGCTGCGCCCGGAGTGGTGGTGATGGTCATCGTGCTCTCCATCGGTGGCAGCCGACGTGGAGTAGCCACCATCGTGGAACAGATGCACGGACAAGAGCGGAATCCCCAGGGCCCGAATGGCCAGTCTGGCCCCGCCTCGTCGAGACCAACCTCTCGAACACCTCTCGCACAGCGCGCCCCACGCCGACGCCGAACTGGAAGAGGAGCGCAGTATTGTGTGCTTGCTCTGTGTCCTGTCCCCCCCCCTTGGGCCTGGCCTGCGTCCCCAACAGAGGCACAGGGTAGCAGTAGCTAGACTATGCGCCTCCGTTTGGGACGCAGGCCCGACCCAAACATGCAGTGCAACATCTTGAGACGAAGAGTTCCCGGCAGAAGCACAACCTCTTGGCGCTCCGCGCGCACTGCTCGGATCTGCGCTGGACTCCCTGTCTGGCGCGCGCAGCGCGCCAGCGGCGGGTGGGGCGATTTTGGGGGCCTCCCAGGCGGCTTCGGACGCCCAGAAGACCGCCGTCTTGGAGCGTCGGGAAGCCGAAAAGAGGAGAACTCCAAAATGCACCAAAACGCAAAAAAAACAAGGATTTTTGCCCCGGGGGGCCTTCTTGGGAGTGCTCTGGGAGGCCTCTCTGGGGCCGTCCTGGAGGCCTCTTGGGCCATCTCGAGGTCACGTCGGCCTCCACAGGGAATCGGGAGCGGCAAAGAGGGGGGCGTCCAAGAGGGGGGGGCGCAAATCATGACCGGCGGCATGTGCGCGGCCCAGCGGGGGGGCCAGGGACGTAATGAAATGAGAAGAGGCGCCATGAAATCTGGGGAAAAATCATGACCCCCGCCATGATATCCACCCCCCTCTAGTCATCCCCCCCCTCTTTTCCGCCCCCGAGGGAAGTGTGTCCTGTCCTTTGCTCTCCCTCGATCCGCGCCTCCGCCCGGGGACGCACGCCCGAGGCCCGACCGTGCCGTGCAGCCATCCCGTGGCGCACCGCGGCCGCAGCCGGCGGTGGCCGCCGAGGCCGGGGCGCCCGCCGCGGAGCCCGTGCTGTGGGGTCTGCCCGAGCGTGCGCGTCGCCCGTGCGCGGCCGACGCAAGGATTGGGCGTGGCTTAATGGGTGGGGTCGCAAATGGGGGGGTCAGGAAAGGTCTCCTTTCGTGCCCCTTTCGGGCCCCTCCAGCGCCCCAGGGGGCTCGTTCAGGTACCGTTTGGGTACCTTTTCGGACCACCCTCGCCACCTCCCCATTTATGACCCCCCCATTACGCGGCGCCCAAAAGGATAGCCTTAGGCTTTGGCCGGGCACGCCCCCCCCCCCCTGCAGGCGGATCCTGGACGACACACACGAGTGTTCAGAGCACACGCGGGCATCGTCGGGCAGTGCTCCACAGATCGCACCCAGACTATGCGTTGGCTGTTCTTGAGCGTTCCTCCTGTAGAGGGGCACGCCCGGCTTCGTACTAGTCCCACCGGCCCCTTCAGGTCGTGAGGGGTTCAGGGTGGTGCTTCTTCCAACCCACTTCTTCCCTTCGGGGAGGAATTTACCACTGTTCCCTGTGAGTAGACATACAGCGGAGGCCGGTCAAAAAAAACCTTCCACAAGAAACCCAACCCTGAGACCCCAGGACGTCCATGGCTTTTGTTGGTGTGGGAGCGTTACGCTTTCCATAGCAAAGCCATGGAACAAACCCAAGAAACCCAGGGCACCCTGGAGGCAAGCAAGGTGTTTCTTGGCATGGGTTTCCACAATACCCCCTTCCCCAAGCGACCGGTAGCCAACCCGGAACAATGCCCACCCTATGTTCCCCACCCCCTAACCATGCATAGCAAAAACAAACAACACACTCTGCCTCCAGATTCGGAGTCTGCGCAACCAACCCGATTCAGGTCCATCCCACCGTCCCTGTCAACAAAACAATGCACAGTACACTTTGGGGAATAGCCTTGAGTCATGTTCGTGAGGCCCGCGGACAGGGACATCTGGGGTGTCAGCATATTGCCTTCTGTGCGCAGGGCCACCATGCCTGTCAAAAAAATACACAAAGCCACCTCGCGGCTAAATCTGAATCATGCGTGGCCACCCCGCGATCACCGTCAAGTGGTTTTGACAGGGACGGCGGGGGTGGTGGCGCATGGTCTGCTGTGTGCAGGCCCACCAGACACCATGATGGGCATCGGTTTTCGACGAGGATGGTGGGGGGCGACATGCTTTCCGATGTGTGCTGTCACGTGCGCAAGCGCACTTGACACACTCTGCACGTGTCCCGAACGTGGTGCATGTGGCGCGGCTGGAGTGTGCGGCACACCTGGCGCACGTGGACCACCTAGCGCACCTGGCGCACCAGAAGTGCATGGCACCCTCGGGCCCCAGGGGTGCCTGGCTTGCGTGGCGCGCCTGGCACGCGTGGCGCGCCCCGCCCCAGCGTCGCGCACATGTGGTCGGTGTTGGTTCCCAGTAGCTGTCCATCCAAAGAGGACCGCTGAACATGCTGAGGCGCGGGTGTGACTTATGTGTTGGGAGGGCGGGTGGAGTGAGCTAGACGACTTGCTCTCCAGGAAGGTGTCTTGACCCTTCCCCTTACCCCCTGCCCTGGGTATGGGGGGGGGGGGGGTCGCGAGGCGTTGGAGCGTCCAAGATGGCCTCGGCGAGAAGGCGAGCATCACTGGTGTTGCTAAAAGTTGTGGCCCCATGTCCACCTCCTGGGGGAAACCTAAGTGAGCACCCCCCTTCACTGATCGAGTATATTTAAACTGGTCTCCGAGGCTCCCAAGAGCGCCCGAAGAGACGCCCAGGACGCCCCAAGAGGCACCCAAGATGCCCCAAGAGGCTCCCAAGAGGCTCCCAAGGGACCCTCAAGAGGCCATCTGACGCTCCCCCGAGGCGCCCAAGACGTTTCAAGAAGCCGACGAGACCGCCAAGAGGTCCCCAGGACGCCCCATAGGAGTCCTACAAGAAGCTCTCAAGATACAAACGGAAAGCCTCCGAGAAGCAACCAAGAGGCCTCTGGCCTTTCTGCTCGCCCTCCTCCTACCTCGCTTCTTTACCCTCCTCCTCCTCCTCCTCCTCCTCCTCCGCCTCCCACCGCGTCCGCCTCCCACCTCCTTCCTTATCCCTCCTCCCTCTCCCCCTCCTGCTTCCGCCTTCCCATCCTCTCTCACTCCTTCCCTCCCCCTCTCGTTCTCCACCTCCTCCTCCCCTGCTTCCTCCTCCATCCTCCTACTCTTGGAGCATGACGGCTGCCCAACCTTTACTCCAATGCGTGCTCCCCCCGACCTGCCTGCGAAGGCCCGCCCGCCCGACCCGCCCGGCATGATCGTCGTCGCAGTCGTCGCACTCTTTGTCGTCGTCGTCGCAGTCGTCGGCCTCGTCCTCGTCCTCGTCGTCATCGTCGTCGTCGCAGTTGTCGCCCTCGTCCTCGTCCTAGTTCTCGTCGTCGTCATCGTCGTCGCCTTCCTCGTGCTGCGACAGTGCGACACTGATAGATCCCGTATGCCTGCCAGCCCGCTACTAGACATGAGGAGAGACAAACGCCCACCTGAAACTCCAACTCGATCACCTGCCTGCCTTGAACCTCCTCGTCGTCCTCGTCCTCCTCCGCTCGTCGGTGTCGCCCGAAATTGGGGACACCAAAAGGTACCGATACCGCTACTCCCCGGACCTCACCCGGGGGGCGTTCTGACAATAATTTCGAGGCGAATCAAGCGGAATCCAGCGGTGGCGACGAGGACCGCCCTGGAGGCCCAAAAATTTGAAAACGGCCGAACGGGTAGAGGCATGAGATTTCCCTCCTGCCGCCCCCGGGCGGCAGCATTCGAAAAAACGCCGCAGCGGGCTCGCCTTGGGTCCCGACAGGTCGGTCCGCAGCTTCTGGCAGGGCGGCAGGCTGGGCAGGCTCAGCCGCGGCACCACCTCGGAGGGCAGCCCCTCGATGTGGTCCTCCTCCTCCTCCTCCTCCTCCTCCTCCTGCTCCTCCTTCTCAACCTCCTCCTCCTTTTCCTCCTCCTCCTTCTCTTACTCCCTCCTCCCACCCTCTCCTCCTCCCTCCTGCTGTTCCTCCTCCTCCTCCTCCTCGTCCTCATCCTCCTCCTCATCCTTCCTCTTCCTCCTCCTCCTCCTTCCTCCTTCCCTTAGCGTCCTACACCGCCTCTCGCACGTCCGATCTCGTCGTCCTCCCCCGCCTCCTCGGCACTCCCTCCCTCCCGCAGTCCCTGCCGCACTCCCGTCCCTCTTCCCTCCCCCCCTCCTGCTTGCCCGCACTCCCTGCCGTAATCCCCGCCGCCGCCCCTCCCCTCCAACGCACTGACCGTTGCCCATCCCCTCATGTTCCTGCACCTCGCTGTCGTCCGCCCTCCTCCTCGCCCTCGTCCTCCCTCCTCATCCTTCGCCTCCCACCGCACGCCCAACTCTTGCACTCCCGATGCTGCTCCCCGCGACGCTCCTGATCTTGGTCGCCCTGCTCCTCCCGATACCTGCGTTGCGCTGCCCAGGTGCACAGCCTCAGAGCAGCTGCCTCCGCATGCGCATGCGACATTGAACGACGGCCTGTGCCGCGCACCCTCGGCAGCAGAACAAGTGCGTGTGTGTGTGTGTGTGTCGTCGTCGTTCCCTTTCCCCCTCATCCCCCTCCCCCTCCCCCTATCAGCCGCCCCCTCTGAAAGTCGTTGTTGATCCCCTGTGGAAGGATCCAGCGTCTCCCCGCTGCGTGAACCAAGCCGGTGAACGCGCGTCTCTGACTGTCCTACGCCGCGCCGCCGCGCGCGTGGCCGCGACACCAAGAGAAGAGAGAGAGAGAGAGAGAGAGAGAGACTGTGTGTGTGTGTGTCTGTGTGTGACCTGCATGCGCCGCGCCGCTGCAACTCGCGTGGCCGCAACGCAAAAACAGCCAGGTCTGTATGTGTGTGGCGCCGCCTGGAGCACGCTGTTTTCCAGCCCCTCCTCGCCACTGCTGCCTGCTCCGCCCCCCCCGCCGGTCGCAGCCCCGCCCGCGAACCGCTCCCGCTCCCGCTCGTGCGGACGGCCATCCTGCTGCCTGCCTCTGCTCCAACCCTTCCCCCTCGACCCGTGCCCCCGCATCCACTGGACTCAAAAAATCATCCTCCTCATCCTCGTCCTCATCAGCATATCACGATCACGATCACCATCCCAACCACCGCCACCACCACCACAAGCATCATCATCGTCATCAGCATCATCAGCATCATCAGCATCATCAGCATCATCAGCATCATCAGCATCATCATCATCATCATCATCATCATCATCATCATCATCATCATCATCGTCGTCGTCGTCGTTGTCGTCATCATCATCATCATCATCATCATCATCATCACCATCACCATCATCATCATCAGTATCAGTATCATCATCATCATCATCATCATAATCAGCAGTAGCATCATCACCACCACCACCATCATCATCATCATCATCGTCAGCCTCACTATCATCGTCATCACCAGCAGCATAATCGTCACCGTCATCGTCATCGTCATCATCAGCATCATCAGCAGCATTAACATCAGCATGTTGAGCATGATCACCATTACCATCACCATCACCATCATCATCAGCATCATCATCATCATCATGCGCATCAACATCATCTTCATCAGCAACATCATTATCATCATGATCATCGTCTTAATCATCATCAACACCATCACCATCAACAGCAGAATCATCATCACACTCATCATCCGTATCACCATCATCATTAGCATCGTCATTATCATGGCCATCACAACCAACAGTTTCATCATCAGCATCGGATTCAACCTCATCGTAACCATAATCAGCATCATCGTCATCATCATCACCCATCATCACCATCATTTGCCTCGCCATCAGCATCGTCAGCATCATCAACATCAGCATACTCATCACCGGCATAATGCGTCATCAACGTCATCATCATCCACAAGGTCATGGTCATGCCCGCAGTACCACTCTATCAGCACAAGCATCAGCATCATTACCATTACCAGCATCATCATCATCAACATCATCATTATCAGCACCACCATCATCATATTCAGTATCACGATCAGCGTCATCATTACGATCATCACCATCGGACCATCGTGATGATCATCATCCTCATTCATCACCATGGCCATCATGAGTATAATCATCATCATCACCAACATTACTCTCATCATCATCATCCTCATCATCATCATCATCATCATCTGCGTCATCATCATGATCGTCGGCGTCTGATCGTCATCATCAACATCATCAGCATGGGCATCGTCCTCAACGTCATCATCCTCATCAACATCATCATCATCATTACCATCACCATCACTACTGCCACTACCGCCGCCCCCACCACTATCACCATCATCATCAGCACCATACTCGACATCATCACCACCGTGAGCAGCAAGATCATCATCACCATCATCATCATCATCGCCATCGTCATCATCATCCGGATCAATATCATGACCAATATCATCATAATCATCAACATCATCAGCATCCTCGTCGGTATGATTATCCTCATGCTGGTCTCCACCACCTCCACAATGATCATGTTCCTCCTCCTCACCATCACCGCTGTTCATTATCGTATCCTCCGTGGCTCCTCGGGCTCAAACCATCGAGCTGATGAGGGGCCTGGCGCGGCGCTTGGCTCTGCTGCTACACTGCACTCTCGCACCAACGCTGGCGATGGGCGGGCCCGAACCCCCGCTCAGGACGGGGGCGACTTCTGAGGGACCGTCGCGGGTGAGATTCCGACCAGCCATAACTGGGGGAGCTGTGATCCTTACCCCCCTGGGGGAGCCCATCGCTTCGACGATCTCTAGAGAGGGGTGTCGAAATCGATGGGCACCCCAGGGGGGTAAGGACCACGGCTCCCCCAGTTGTGGCTGGCCTGAGATTGGGCACGTGGCTGAGGCGTGCACGATCGCTGTAACCTCGAAAGCAACCGCGGCTTCAGATGCGAGATGCAATGCGTATGCGTTGACGTCCAGAAGGGGGAGCCGACTGCTCCCTCTCTGCTCGTTGCCTCTCTGCTCGTTGCCTCTCTGCTCGTTGCCTCTCTGCTCGTTGCTTCTCTGCGGAGAGGAGTGCTGGAAGGATGTGGGGGGTTGGCTTGGGAGAGATGTGCCGGTCGGGTGTTGCTAGAAGTACCCCTGGCCCCAAGGTAGCCCCAGGACTCTCGGGGGTGGCCCAGACGGCCTCCAGGGCACCCCCCACGAGGCCCAGGGGGCCCCAGGGGCTCCAAAATGGGGTGCGAAGCTGGGGGCACCTCGGGCGGGCCAGGGGCACTTCTAGCAGCACCCGAACCGGAGGACGAGGACGAACCTTCGCGATCATCGACTTTTCAGCTTGCCTCGCTTGTCCGGTGATGCCTTCGGGCCGCACCTGGTCGCCCCGTCGGGCCCGCGCCCTCGCCCGCTCGTCGGTTCCAATGCCAGGCCCTCTCGCCGGCGCCCCCGCCGCCGTGGCTGAGGCCGGCGGGGCCGGACGCCGACCCACGTCCAGAATTACAGAATTACAGAAGCATGAGTAGTCCACCGTGCAAGCACACTGGCCACTAAAGAAGAGAAAAAGAAGACGTCAGCTCGCCCGTCTCCTCCTTCTAACCCCTCCTGTGGAGGCCAGGGATCATAAACTCTCAGAGGTTCAAGGGGGGGGGGATACTCGCGGGTGTGTTGTGCCCACATCTGTGGACGCCCGAGATGGGTACGGAAAGGATGGGTGCAATGCCCAACAACAGCTGTTGTCCCAAACCAAAAGCGGCCGCCGTTGGGCAGGCGGCCTCATGTCTCTAATGGCAACAGGCCGCGGCGGCGTGGACAGCGAGTCCTGTTCAAAATGAACCAGATCCTCTGTTGGGCATTGTACCCATTCTTTCCGTCTATCCCTTCTTCCGCCCTCGTGCTCCCGCTGCTCCGCCTCCACCTTCTCCTGCTCCTCCCGCATTTCCGTGCGCTATCCTGTTCCTTCCTGCTGCTGCTGCTGCTCCTCCTCCTCTGGTGTATGCCTGTCGCTCCTCCTCCTGCTCGTCCTGATCTGGCTGCTGCTCGTCCTCCCGCTCCTCCCGCTTCTCATGCCCCAGCAGCTGCTCCTCCCCCTCCTCCTCCTCCTCCTCCTCCTCCTCCTCCTCCTCCTCCTGCTGACTGCCTGCTGCTGCTCCCCTGCACACTGGGATGCTGCCGCTGCCGCCGCTCCTCCTCTAAGACGAAGCCAGGACGAGGATCAGTTCGGGTGAGCATAAACCCAGAATCACTGAGATCGCGCGGCCCTGGAGGATGTACCAGGCGCCGCGGCCTTGACGCAGCGTTCCTGAACGCTCTGAGAGCGTTCCTGAACGCTCTGAGGGCAAGGGGAGGGAGCAAAACATTCTGATCTTTCTCCGGTCGGCCTGCAAATTTTAATGTGTTCACCTCTCGCGCCTGAATGGGGGTACTCTGACACGAGGCTGGCATGACCGCTCCCTGAAAGATGACACTCATCGCTCTGCTCAACCCCGTCGGACGGGCCGAGAACTTCTGAGGGCGCCGCCGGGATGTCCGAGATCCGCTTCGCAGACCTCAGGGATTTTTGCCGGACGCATGCGTCATGGTAACTTAGTTATCATCGCCACCGCAATCGTTGTCAGGGCCACCATCACCGGATCCGTTATTGATCCGCCATCACGCTTCCGCGCTTGCAGCGGTTCGTGTGCGTAGTCGCGTGCGTGTGTGTGTGTGTGTGTGTGTGTGTGTGTGTGTTTGTGTGTGCGTGTGCGTGTGCGCGTGCGTGTGCGTGAGAGAGAAAGAGTATATGTGTGTGTAGGTTTGTGTGTGTGTGGGTGTTCACTGGAGTTTCTGCGCCGCGCCGATGCGCGCGTGGCCGTGATGCAAAAATGAATGCGTGTGTTTGTGTGTGTGCGTGTGCGTGTGTGTGTGCGTGTGTGCGTGTGTGTGTGTGTGTGACTCTTGCCTTTAGCGATCCTCCCGCCTCTCGCGAGGCAATGGTGAGCCCCCACCTGCCAGAACCCACCACCCTGCGCTCAAGTGCTGCCAGATGTCCTCGCGTCTTTGGCCTTGCCAGCCCTGACTGGCCCCCCCAGAGTCAGAAGGAGAACAATGGGCCGTCCCACGGGACATGCCCCCCCTGGGCGGTCGCCCGGCCCCCCCCGCCGCCCCCCCAGAAAAGATGGCCCCATAGAGTGGCCTTCGATACAGCCAAGGCGGCCTTCGAGCGTGGAGAGACCGCTACAGTGCCTGGACGGCGTTCCGAATTTGCCTTTAAGACGGCCACGATAGCCCCACGACGGACCACGAGGCCCCACCACGTCCCAAGAGGCCTCCAAGAGGATCCCCAGGAGGCCCCGAATATGCCAACAGTCTAACTCCCCCTTACGTTTGGTTCAAGCGTTGGCGCATCTGCGAAGTTCCGAGCCACTCAGACGGCCGAGGAGGCATAAAAATGGCCCGTCGACGTGCCCCAACACGGTCCAGGAAACCTCCAAAGCTGCGCGTAAACTCCCCATCAAGGCCGCAACACACCCCACGGAGACCCCCCGACACAGCCTCCGAAGGCGTCAGACGGGCCATGAGCGTCCCAACATTGCCTAAAAAACCGCCAAGAGACACCGAGACGTCAGCGAAAAAGGCCCCTTACGAGGCCCCACCATATGAAGCCTCCCTCCACAGGCGGCCGCTCGATCGCCGTGGCGGAATTGCGCTGCAGTGTCACTGGATATCGCGAACATCTGCATTGCCATCCTTGCCGTCACCATCAGTTCGTCGCCACCAGTTCATCAGCACCCCCCTCCTCGTCCTTATCGTTTCTGAGATGTTGTTTCCGTTCTTGTCGTAATCGCCATTTTCGTCGGCGCCGTCTTTGTCGTCGTCTGTGGACCTCGCGTCCGCCGACGTCGCCGTCGCCGCCATCGCTGCCATCACCGCCATCATCGCCATTGCCGCTGCTACTTGTCTGCAAAGATCGTGAACAGGAACCCTGGAAACGAACGAACACGAGGGAACGATCCGACGCGGCGATAGCACTCCGCCATCCAGCGGCTTCCCTTCTGCGGGCCATCGCTCTGGTGTTCCCCGTTCGGGGGTGGACTAACCTGGCTCATCGCAAAACTGGCCCACCACATTCGAACATAACGGATCTGAACTTGTGGGGGCTTCAAAAACCCACAACCTACCCCTGATAAGAAACCCCGGGGGATACAAAAAAATCGGGGTCGAGAGGGGATAATAAACGTTTCCCATGCAGGCCGCAATATAGAAGGACGCTGATGAATAGGATGAGGATGATGATGCCGATGATGGCGATGTTGATAATGGGAATGATGATGTTGACGTTCATGATGATGAGGTAATGATGCTGATATGGTTGACCTGTGCTCTAAACATCCTTGCCACGTGCTCTTGAGATCCTAAGATTGGCCCACGATCTTGGGATCCTTGGCGCTCCTCGCCAGGAAGTTCTTGTCTTGCGAACGACCTCGAAACAATTCACCCTTGCAGGCTCGGCACTCCTTGGGGCCGTCGTTGCAAGGCAAAATCGGTTCGCGACTTTCCCCCGCGATGAGAAGGTTCCGCCTTGCCGCCCCTCTCCCCCGACCAAATCTGCACTGGCCGTAAAAAATCCACACTCTCTATGCTGAAGTACGGGCGGTACCTTTTATCATCCCTGGGGCGGGATTCAGAGCCTGTTTTCCCATTTTGCGCGATAGTGCCTGTCACCAGCCCCGCCCGCCCCCCCCCCCCGACGTCACGTTCCGCGCCGGCGGTTTCCGAGAATGCTTAAGAACGACCGAGGCCAAATAGGGAGATATCTGTACCACAACCATTGTGTAATCCACAGTGCTCGCGTGCACCACACGGCGAGTGTACACCACAACGCCAGCGTACACCGCAGCAACCGTGTGCAACGCAGCGCCAGTGCGCACCACGCTGCTTGCGCGCGTGCACCCCAGCGCCTGTGCACAGCACAGAAAATGTGTACCTCGTAGCAGCCGTCCGCAACACAGCGCCCGTGTACACTACAATGCTTGTCTGCACCGCAGCGCCTGTCAACACCACAACGCCTGTGTACACCACACCATCCTCGTGCAACACAGCGCCAGTGTACGCGACAGCGCCTGCGTGCACAGGACAGGTAAAAGGAGCATGTCGGTGAGGATCTGCTGCAGACAGATGAGAACCACGCAAGGGGAGTGCAAATAATGGAATGCGATGTTTTATATACAACCATGGTGTTCTGTTGCGCACGGTTGCTGTGGTGCACACATCCGACGTGGTGTACACAAACGCTATGGCGCACTCAGGCAATGTGGCGCACTTTGGTGAAGCGTTGCGCACGGCTGCTGTGGTGTACGCGGGTACCAACTCCACCTCTACTCCCTCCAATACATCTCTACCCAAATCAACTCCCCCCCGATCCCCCAGATCCATCCACTACCCTCCATCCTCCTCACGCCCCCTCTCCTCATCCATCATCGAACGTCCCGCTCCTCGCCTTCCCGCTGCCATCTCCTCCAGCCCCTCCCCCTCGCCATCTGTCATCATTGTCCTCCTGATCCTCGCTCCCACTCCCTCCCACCTGCTCACATCTCACATCTCCTATCCACCTCCTCCCCCGCCTCCTCACAAACCGTCCTCCTGATTAATCAACCTCTTCCGCCCCCTCCATCCAACTCTGGAGTCCGCCTCCGCCTGCTCCTCCCCCTCATTTTCATAATCCTCCATCCCTGTTCACTTCTCACGCTTCCAATCCCTCACTCCTCATCCTGCTCCTACTCCATCCCACTCCTCCCCGACCCCATCGCACTCCCCGCCTCTCCGTAAGCACTCCACTCCAGCATCAATACCCACCTCGCATCTCTTCTCCCTGCTCCTCCTCGTGATCGTCTTTTCCTCTCTCATCATCTCATCACTCTCGTCCACTCCCCCCATCGTTGCTCTCCCCCCCCACCGCTTTATTATGTTACTCAATATCTCGCCTTCCTTCGCACGCAGTTCCTTCCCCCGAACTCCTCCTAGCCCTCTGTGCGTAGGTGGTCGAACGAGTTCTCTCGTTCCTCTTACCCCCTTTCTTTCCCTTCGGGGAGGGGTATACCACTCCCTCTACCCGCTCCCAGGGGTCTGGATCGGAAAGGAACGTAGGTGTCAGGGGATCCCTCTGCGCCCACGGTGACTCCAAGAGGGACTCCGATGCTCCAAGACGGCCTCCAATGGCTCACAACGGCTGCATATGATTCAAGGTAACCGCTTGCCGCGGATAATAAGGGCGACCCCCCTTCACCCCCTGTGTCTGATTATCCATGGGATATCTGTGTCAAGCTCCAGGATCACAGATGGTGAAGAAGTCTCGAGCGAAACGCCCAGCCCTCCCTACAGACACGCCGGATGGCGCGACAGTGAGGAGTTACATGTGAGGAAGAGGTATGGAGCAGAAGCAGGGGTAGGATGCGGCGGAGACCGGGGGGAGGACAAGGAGAGAATAACGGAATGCCCCCTCTAATCACACCCGGGGGATCAGACAACTCGGGGCTCGGGGAGGATTCGGGGATCTGCTGACCCAAATCAATGCAGATCCGAGCCAGCCAAGCCTGGCAAAATCCTGCAGGACCTTGCACCCAAGCCCGGGTCAGGGCGCGGCTCTGAATCCCGAGTCGTGTCTTGACGGTCCCGAGGCCCGGCAAGGGCTCACAGAGGCAGAAAAATGGCAAAAAGCCTCCCGACGGCGGCACCGACGCCGACGACGACGACGACGGCGCCGACGGCGACGACAACAACAACGGCGCCGACGGCGACAACGACGGCGACGACGACGACGGCGACGACGACGGCGACGACGACGACGACGATCCCGACGGCGGCCACGGCGGCCACCGGCGGCGGCCAGCGGCGGCGGCCGCCCGCGAAGGGCTAGAGGGAAAAGAACTATGCACATGCACCGATTCTGGCCAGGCCCATCCTGAGCCCAGGATCGGTGCATACGCCCTCCTACCTTGGCCAGGAAGGCATATGCACCGATCCTGGGTCAAAAATGGGCCTTGCCAGGATCGGTGCATGTGCATAGTTCTCTTCGCCCGAGAAGGACCTGGTCGGCGGGGGCTCCTCGCAGAGGGGCTCGTCCTCGCCCGCGCGGGGCTGGGGCACCACGCAGCCCATCACGGGGCCTCGCGGCGCGCGGGGGGGGGCGGCGGCGGGGCGACGGGGGGGGGGGGGCGGGGGCAGGGCGAGATCCAACGCATTGAGAAAAACGAAGATTCAAACTCCACGATTCAAACTCCAAGGGCCCTCACGCGAGATTCACCAAGATTCAAACTCCAAGATTCAAACTCCAAGGGCCCAATTGAGGTATTCAGCAAGATTCAAACTCCAAGGGCCCTCGCGCGGCCCCAGGACCCTTAAAGAGCGGCTCAAGAGGAAGGACCGGTGTTGGGGAATGGGTCGAGACTTCCTGGGACCGCGTTCTGAAAAAAAGTCAAGACGTCGGATCTCTGGGGGTGCAGCAGGAGGAGAGGAGGGAGAGGGGGCCAAAATGCCAGATTTCCCAAGGGTTTTCCAAATTGATGCGGAAGTCCTCGTCGTTTCGGGTTCCCGACCCTCCAAGACGGGCTCGCCGGCCCCCTGGATCGCCCCAAGAGGCTCCCTGAATGCCCGCAAGAAGGCCCAAGGGGGGCCCAAGACAGCCCAAGAGTCGGGAGGCGGACAAAGTTGGGAGAGGAGGGGATGCGAAGGGGAAGTGGGGGGAAGGGGGAAGAGGACCGGGGGCAGGGGGTGGGAAGGGAAGGGAGGGCGGAGGGAAGGGCGGGGGGAAGAGGACATGGTGGGGGGGGGAAGAGGCCAGAGGGAAGGGAGGGGAGAGGGAGGGGGAAGATGAGCAGAGAGGCGAGAGGGTGAGGGGGGGGGCAAGCCAGAGGCGCTCGTGCCACATCTGACATCCTACCCCTCCCTCAAATCCCTTCCCATTGCGCTGATTTATTCTCCATCCGCGAAAGCGTGTCATAACCGACCTGGAGCTCCAAACAAAAAACAGTCGTGCTGCGCGCGATTAGAGAAGGGGAGAACGAAGAGCAGCAACAGGAACTAGAGTGGAAGGAGCGGGAGGAGCAGGAGGACCAGACGAAGGTTGAGGAGGGGAACTGATGAGGGCGACAACGATGATGGAGTAGTTGGATTCTGAAAAGTGGACCGCGCTGAGGCCAGAACACCACTCTGAACGACGGGCGACAAATGCTGATCCAAAATAAGGGCCCGCGCTGCGCGCGGACATAATTTTGAAACGCCGAAAACGATCGGATTATACAAACCATCGAAAACATCACCTGTGTCTCATTCTGTACAACAAAGGGTACGCGGACAGAACGGGCTGTCCTCCAGACGGGGTCATGGGAGAAAGGGTCTACAGTATTCATAGCGTGTGATTGCGGAGGGTGAGGAGGTGGGAATGCAAGGAAAGCAAAACAAATTGGGAGTGTGGGCGAGAGGACAGGAGGAGACAGGCAGGGCCGGAGAGGAGGGGGCGGTATCCCTGCCGGGCTGTCTTGGCGACCGCATGCGGCTGCATTGGGTTGCCTTGCGGCATGTTGGGGCAATGTTGGCGCCATCGAACCCCTAGTGACCCATCCTGGCAAGCTGGGACTGCGACCGATCATGCCAGAATCCTGAGGTGCCCCAGCGTGGCTGACTCATTGGGTCCGCAAGGGGGCTCCGTGGAGCTCTCTAGCGGCCCATTCGTGCCGTCGTGGGCTGCTCCGTCGGGGAGGCTCCTGGGCGGTCGCAGACTCTGGCGCTGAACAACAATTTGTTGTGCAGCGCCGCTCGTGCCGCGACGCCCTGCATGCTGGTCTCCGGCAGCGCATGTATCGCTTTGACCTTGAGCGAACACGGCTGCCCGATATGGAAGGCACCGTCGAGAGCATGTTTTTTATAGTTCCGGACAGCGCTCGTGACCAGCAGCCCACCCCCCCATTCCCACCCCCCTGGTCCCGTCACGATTCGCGCCGGCGCCGCCCAGGAACGACCCACTCCTAAGGATTCCCAGACGGCGCCGGCGCGAATCACGACGTGACTGGCCCCCTCCCCCCCCCCGCCCGTTGACCTCTAAGGATCTTTACTTTTGTAGACCCCCCCGTCGTCTCTCACGGCGGGAAATAAATCCGCCCCTCCTCCACCTCCTCGAGTTCCTCCTCCTCCTCGTCCTCCTCCTCCTCTTCCGTCGTCGTGGCCAAAATCATGTTCCCGTTCGCAGAAACTCAACCTTTGAGGAAAACCACCCCACCAGCAACTGCTGGCAATTGTAAATGTTACCAAATCAATCGCAGCGCACATGCCAGGCGGGGGGGGCCAGAATGATTGCATACTTGCGTGATGACGATGCTGCAGCTTGTTGTTGCCACCTGTTGATACCTCCCATTGTACCATCATGTTGCCTGATGCTCCAGCTTGTTGTTGCCACCTGTTGATGTCAATTGTCGGCGCCACATGTTGTAATCACTGGATGTTTCCACATGTTGTTGCAATATTGTTAGCATTTGTGTTGCGTAACCTGTCAATGATATTCTGATTTAAATGAGCGGCACCCAGAATTCAAGTATAGTGATAAGAGAAAGTAGTAGTAGTAGTGGTAGTAGTAGTAGTAGTAGTAGTAGTAGTAATAGTAGCAGTATTAGTAGACGTAATAGTGGTAGTAATCGTGGAATAGTCGTCGTCGTAGTAGTGGTAGTGGTAGTGGTAGTGGTAGTGGTAGTGGTAGTGGTAGTGGTAGTGGTAGTGGTAGTGGTAGTGGTAGTGGTAGTGGTAAGTGGTAAGTGGTAAGTGGTAGTGGTAGTAGTGGTAGTAGTGGTAGTAGTAGTAGTAGTAGTAGTAGTAGTAGTAGTGGGAGAAGTAGAAGTAGTAGTAGTAGTAGTAGTAGTAGTAGTAGTAGTAGTAGTAGTGGTGGTAGCTGTTGTTGTCGTAGTTGTAGTAGCAGTAGTGTAGTAACAGCAATCATAGTCCTAGTAGTAGAGGTAGCAGTCATAGTAGTAGTAATGGTCGTAATAGTAGTAGTAGAAGAAGACTTAGAAGTACGAGTAATATCAATAGTCGTATTGAAAGGGTGACGAATAAGAGGTAACAGGAAAAGTAATAGTTGTTGTGCTAGTAGTCGTAGTTACACATCTCTAGTATTCGTAATACTGGTGCTGAGTAATGATAACGGTAGTGGCAGTGATCGTGATTGTGCTAATGGTAGTGGTAGTGGAGGTTGTTCTAACAGCAATACTCTCAGTAGTAGAGGTGATAATCATGGCGATGCGAACTGTGCTAGTAAGAATTTAGTGGTCGCATTTCGATTTCCACTAATAGCAATACTGATTGCAAGTGCTGAAACGATTCTTGCGATATACGCACTGCCTCACGCGGACCGCTGCGCATTTCCCATGGCATCCTTTTTGCGGTCCGCCCCCGTGTGGTTCCCTCATGCATGTTTGCAATCCTCTTTCAGTCTTTCTGTGGTTCCATTTGGTCCTCGTGCGATCCCCATGTGATCCCCTTGCGGCTCCAATTTGGCATGCTTCGGTCCTTTGTGATGCCTACGAGATCCCCGCGCGTTCCCCTTGTATTCCCCGCGGCCCAACGCGCTGTGAAATGCGAAAGGAAAAGCACGAGAGAACGGACGCGTTCAATCTCAAGGCGAACACTTTCAGAGAAGCCAGGGGAACAAAAAAGACGACGGCGACGACTGATAGCACCTGTTTGGAATGTATACGATTCGAAAACGAGGCTGCCTGCAACATTACATACAGCTGTTCCGTTGTTTCCCGTTTTTTACATATACCGACGCACCGGGCCGGAGGGGTCGGGGGCCGCGACTTCTGTCACAAATGTGTGGCCCGGGGCCCGAGCAGGGCCTGGGAGCGCCGGTGGGCCGCCCCAGATCCTCAGGGAACGCCATCAGAGGGCCATCCAGGCGGCCCGCGACAGCTCGGTCAAACCCAAGAGTGCATGAATGCAACAAAAATCACAGGGATACCGCGCCGACGTCAAAGGTCGGTGGCCTCGCGACCTGACTTGAGATCTCAGGGGATACTGAATGCTTTATCTGAGACCACCAACCAGTGCTAAGACGACATCTCTGCCAAGACAGTGGTAGCATCGAGTAGTCGTTGCGGCCCAGTCTGCGCAGGACCTTCGCATCTGGCGACAGCATCGTCGATGAACGTCCCAAGCATACCAAACGAGGCTCTGGAGTGCAAGAACAGCTCGGCTAGACGAATGCCATGAGGAGACGCTGCGACCCGCAATCTCGTGGCCACTATCGGCTGAGGGCGAACAAAAATTAACTGGGCGAATGAAAACCCGTTGAATGCATACGGGGCGAACTTAAGCCGAACGAATTTAACCCCAGCGAATTTCAACGGATAAACTGGTAAAACAGAACGGGTGAAGACAGACGGGTGAATCTAAAAGGGACACTCAGAACGGGTGGAATTGCTCCCGGGTGAAACCGAGCAGAATCCCGAGCCTGTGCCCCCGCAGTGGCCCTAACGCTACCCCTGCTCTCGTCCTGGCGCCGCGGGGGGCGGGGCGGCCGGGCCTGCCATGAGGCCTCCGGGCGGGGCACGGGCAGGAGGCGACTGAGCTGTTCTGTGTGGGGCGTGCCGGCATTTTTCGACGAGTTGCCCTCGGCGAAGCGAAGTGGACAGGGGGGTTGCCCCTCGAGGAGGGGGAGCAGGGGGAGGAATGCCCCGCGTGAGGAGGGCGCGGAGAGGGGGGGTTCTCCTCCTGCCCTCTTCCCCTGCCTCCTCCTCCTCCTCCTGCGCCTCCCCCTCCCCCTAGTCCTAGTCCTAGTCCTAGTCCTAGTCCTAGTCCTAGTCCTCCTCCTCCTCCTCCTCCTCGTCCTCGTCCTCCTCCTCCTCCTCCTCCTCCTCCTCCTCCTCGTCCTCCTCGTCCTCGTCCTCCTCCTCCTCCTCCTCCTCCTCCTCCTCCTCCTCCTCCTCCTCCCTCCTCCTCCTCCTCCCCCCTCGTCGTCGTCCTACTCCTTCTCCTCCTCGTCCTACAGGTGCCCATGGCCAAAGGTGTTCCCCGCTTTTTGCTCAACGTTGGAGCCTCCTCCCTAGCCTCCCCTAGAAGGGGGAAACACGCCATGCACATACGCTTTTGGCACTCCCCGCGGATTTCTTGGATCTGCGCTGGACCCCCTCCCTGGCGCGCGGAGTGCGCCAGGGGCGGCGCCGGAGGCGCCGCCAGGGGGGTCCCAGCGCGGATCCAAGAAATCCGCGCGGAGCGCCAAAAGTTTATGTTTATGGCGTTTTTGTTCTTCTTCGATCCCCCTCGTCGTCCTCCTCTTCCCCCGTCTCGGGTTGCCGAAGGTGCCCATGGCCCATGGCCCATCCCCGCTTTTCGCGCAAGATTGGAGCCCCTGGGGCCCTCTGGGCCTCCCGTCGTGCGCTGCCGCTCCTGACTCGAGCGTGTATGGGTCCTTCTCCTCCTCCTCCTCCTCCTCCTCCTCCTCCTCCTCCTCCTCCTCCTCCTCCTCCTCCCGGCATCGTATCCTCCATCCATTTCGATCGTCCCAATCTCAGCCCCTGTCAAGGGTTAAGTCGGGCGTGTCCCTCTACAGGGAGATTTTCGGCGAAAAATGCAACAGATTCCCCCAAAATACCCCGAAATGGCCAAAACATGCTCATACAGTAGTCCCCAGACAATCTTTCCACTATCTTTGAATCTTCCTCCTGCCGAGAGACAGGTCCGACTTCAGTCAACGGGGGGGGCGACCTCGCGGCGCTGGGGCTGCCGCCCCTCGGCGCCGTGGCCCCGGCGAACAAAAAGCGTCGGCCCGGAGGGGGGCGCCGCGGCGCCCCGGCGGGGCTCGCTCCCGGGCCCGCCCGCGTGCCTGGTCGTGGCTCTCTTTCGGCCGGCCGCGGCCGCAGGTCCCGAGGGCCCTCTCTTGGGCGAGGGTGGGTGATGCTCCGAGGGCTCCCAGCTGCGTGCTCCGCACTGCGCTAAGTGCGAAGTGCGAACAACTTCGCGCTCTCGCGCCGCCTCCCAGGGGAGAAGAGGAGGACGAGGAGGAATCGGAGCCGAACCGCGAAGCGCGAATAACTTCGCGCCCTCGAGAGCGCCCCTGTGTTCCAACCTACTCTAGCCTTGACCACCAGAAAGAATTTCGAGCACCAAACGAAAAGAACCGAAACTCGAAGGGTTGCAAGTGTCGGGCCCTGGGAGACACTCGTCCGACACTGCATCGACACTCTCTCGACACTTCTCCGGGTGCTCGGAACTAGTTCTGGGACGTGGTCCTCAAGTGCGATGGGAGCAGCATGAGACGAGGGGGGATCCGGGGATCCAAGCAAACCTGCTCTCAAGGACCGACGGGCACACATTACGTCGGGCGTGTCCCCTTACAGAGGGATTTGCGACAAAACATAAAAAATACATAAAAAAACGCCAAAATGCCCCAAAAATATACCGAAACGGTCAACAAATCATGAAAAAATAGTCCCCAGGCTATGTTTGGATTATTGTTTGGGGTATTCTTAATTTTTCGTCGAAAATCCCCCTGTGAGGGGGACAGGCCCGACTTATAATGCTGGGGGGAAGAACGCTGCGCTCCTCGGCGGGGGCTCGCTCCTGGGCCGCCCCGTGCCCCGGCCGCAGGTGTCGAAGGCCACTCCTGGACGAGGGAGGACGCTGTGTTACATCCTCGGGAGATCTCGTCCGTCCCATCGCGCCCCGGTGCGCGTCGAACGCTCCAAGAGTGACCCACGTGACCTCAAGATGGCCCAAGAGGCCTCCAGGACGGCCCCAACGAGGCCTCCAAGAGCACCCCCAAGAAGGCCCCAAGAGGAAACAATCATTGATTTTCTGATGGTTTTTGGTGGATTTGGGGGTTCGAATCCGTGCCGAATCCATGTCGCACTCGTCGAATGCGTCCGCGCCGAATCCACGCAGAGTCCACGCCAGATCCGCGCGCGGGGTCCGCATCGACCCCGCGTCTGGTACCAGGAAAGGCACCAGGTCTTGGAACAGACGAGGTCCCCCGAACAAGCGAATTAAGGGTTATATTGCTCCCAGCGTACTTGAGAACCACATCCCAGCAAAAACTTCGGGCACCCAGAGCAGTATCGAAACAGTGTCGAACGAGTATCGCCTCCCAGAGCCCGGCACGTGGAAACCCTCAAGTTTCGGTACAAACTTGGTGCTCGACAATCTTTCTGGCGGTCAAAGCGAAAGTAGGTTGGAACATCATAGCGTATGTTTGGAGTCCCGAAACGGTGCGGTGACGGACCGTGCGGTGACCTCGAAATCCCCCAAGACCTCACCGCACGGTCCGTCACCGCACGGTCTTGGGACCTCGGAGGCCCCAATCGCCCGAGACGTCCTCGGAGGACGACCCGAGTCCCAAAACCGTGCGGTGACCCCGAATCCCCACCGACTCACCGCACGGTGTGGTCACCGCACCGTTTGGGGGCCCCCGAGTATGGGGCGGTAGGGCGGGGGCCTGGCTCAGGGGGGAGACGTCGACCTGGGATCGCCGAGGCATCGCCGGCAGGAAGGCGACGGGCGGGCTTCCAGGAGCGAGGCCGCACGGCGTCGGGCAGGTGGGGGCAACCACGCGCCGCTCGGCGAGGGGTGCGCGCGTCGGTCGGAAGAGGCAGGTCAAGACATTAAAGTAGGAAGGCTGATCAAGTAACGTCAGGTCCAGGCCCTCCCAGGATGACAGCACACAGTAAAAAACATATCGACTCTTGAAGTAGGAAGGCGCTTGAGACAAATGGGGACCCGGGCATCCAGAAACATCTGCTTTCAACGACCGGCTTGTACGGTGGGGGGCTCGATGCGCTCTCCCTCCCCATTCGCGCCGAGTATACCCTCTCGTGGGCGCCCCCGACTGGAGAGTTTTCAGCGCGGGCGGACTCCGCTGCCCCGACTGCTTCCACGCTTCGAGCGCACCTCGTCCACGCTTGGGCGCCCAGATTCTATCGGGAGCGGCCAAGAGGGGGGTGTCCAAGAGGGGGGGGGTGCAAATCATGACCAGCGGCATGTGCGCGGCCCAGCGGGGGGGCCTGGGACGTAATGAAATAAGAAGAGGCGCCATGAAATCTGGGAAAAAATCATGGCCCGCGCCATGAAATCCACCCCCCCTAGTCATCACCCCCCTCTTTTCCGCCCCCGATTCTACGGGGTAGCTCGGGCCCGGGGTGCCCGGGCTTCGGATTCCCGAACAACCGCACCCGAGTTGGCCCTGACCCGAGCTGCCCCCGACGACTCTCGGGGCTCGGGCACCTGCCCACGGCTCCCCCGCGGCGCCCCGCCTATCCAGAGCAGGAGCCCGGAGGCCAGGAGCCGGTCCTCCGTGGGGCCTCTCGGTGGCGTCTCGGGCTCCGTGGGCGGCAGCCTGCGCGCACTCCTGCGGAGCGCCCTGCTGTTGCGCGGGCTCCAGGACGCGGGGAAGGGCAGGGATCGGCACCCCCGGATGGGGCCCCGAGACACTGGGCTCTGCGGCGGGAGGGCGCTGGGGCGCCAGCTCCTGACAGGCGTCGTTGCCTGCCCACTGCTGGCCATGAGAGAACCGCTGACTGTTGGCACTCTATGCCGCGCCAACTCCAAGTGCGCGTCAAAACACCCTGCTCTCTCCAGAGACCTGGAGATTTCTAGAAGGACAGGTGCGGGGCATCACCGGGCAATTTTGGAGGAGTGACAGCGGAAGTTAGGACACCATGGGAAGAGGGGGGGGACAATGGGGAAACCAACAGGTACCGATACCGCTACTCTCCGGCCCTCCCCCAGGGTGCGTTTTGACCAGAATTTCGAAGCGAATCCGGCGGTGGTGACGAGGGCCGCCCGACAAGGGGAAAACGATCGAAGGGGTGGAGGTATGGGCACCTCTGCCTCCTCCGAGGCAAGGGAGCAACATGCGGAGGGGCCTGTGCTGAGGCTCCGGGGCGTGGGCATCATCTCCGGGGGCTCCAGCGTGCGGAAGCAGCTGCCGTCCTTGAGGAACGTCTCCTGGCGCCGGCCGGCGCGCGGCACGCGCCCCAGAGGCCCCTCGACGGCCCCCCGTCCGCGGACGCGCGCCAGCGCTCGGCGCGCCATGCTTGGACGCCTCTTGGGCGCCCGAGTTATCCGGGGTAACTCGGGTCCGGGGTAACTCGGGTTCGGATTCCCGAAAAAGGAACCCGAGTTAGCCCTGACCCGAGTTACCCCTGATGATTCGGGGCTCTGGACGCCCGAACTATCCGGGGTAAGTCGGGTCCGGGGTAACTCGGGTTCGGATTCCCGAAAAACGAACCCGAGTTATCCCTGACCCGAGTTACCCCTGATGATTCGGGGCTCTGAGCCTCGGCTGCCTCCCCGGGCGCATCGACCAACAGCACGACCACCACGGCGGCCGCGACGACTGCGACGACGACGGCGACCACCACGGCGACGACGAGGACGACCACGGCGGCCCCGTCGCGGCCCGGCCTCCGGCAGCGGCCGCGCCGGCGAGTGGCGCGCCGCGCAGCTGGAGCGCTGGGAATGGGTGCGTAAGCCACGGGTGCGATGCCCGGCAAAAATGGTGGTCCAACATGTGGCACAACGCCCCCCAAAGAAAGCAATGGGGGGCACACGAGGCCCAACAGTGCCACGTTGGGCAGGGTGCCCAGCAGCAAGCGTTGTCCAACACTGAAGGGGCCCTGAGACACACAAGTAAATACACACAAATAAAAGGATTCCCCATATTTTTTCATATTTTCTAGGTTTGTCTTCGCCCCCACTTCCCATATTTTCCCTTATTTTCGTGGGAATCGACGATTAATTGTGTCTGTGTGGTTTTTGTCCCTCCTGAAGCACTGACAGCGGCCGCTTGTGGGAAGGCCTACTGTCTCAAGTGGACAGCGCCCGCGGCGACACCGACAGCGAGTCCTAGTCAAAGTGAAGATGGAATGTCGTCGGTCTTCGTTACCCTCCTTCCTGGACACATTTCGATCGAACCGATCCGTGGCCCCCGCTGCTGCCTCCCCAACCCTGAAATCCGACGTCCCGAAAAATCAGCAGCATTGTAACACAGCGTGACTTGAGCCCAAGGGGCCCCAATTTCCGACGTTGTCACTTTCCGAGGCGGCTCGGTATGTGAGGGCTCCGGGGCCCGAGACTGGGCCAAACCGCCCAGCCCAGGCACGTCGGGACGCCAGGGCCTCAGAGGACCTCCAGCGCGCGGACAGAAACCGACCGCCCTGACGACCACGACTGCCACAAAGGCCGCCGAACGTAACGCATACGACAAGGACGGCGACGGCCTGCCGACGGCGACGGCCGCAGCCCGCGGCGGCGGGCGGCGCGCCGCGCCCGGGGGCGCGGCCGCTCCACGACGGCCGGGGAGCCGCGCTCGGTGTAGAGGGCGACGTGCGTGTCCCGCGGCGAGCGCGACCTGCGCGCCACGGCGAGGGCCCGAGAACAAGAAGCCCTCCGCGAGGCACAGGCAGCCCAGCCCCGAGACCCCAGGGCGTCCATGCACATCTGAGATATCTGGCGTGGGAGCACCCCGCCTCCCAGGGCAAAGGCCTCGAAGCCCAGGAGGCCCAGGGCACCCTGGAGGCATGCAGGGTGCTTCTGCTGGCATGGGTCTCCGCTGCAGCCAGCCGCTGCGCGCTCGGGTGGCGACGCCCCGACCCTTCCAGTCGGAGCGGTGCCGCCGGGAATGGGGCCCCTGCTTGGCCGCGGAAGCGCCGGCGTGGGCGACGGGCGCTAGAGAAACGACCGCAGAGAGACCACGGGAAAGCGAGCCCCTCACCAACCCACGCTGCTCCGCACGACTCCGCATCTCGGCGTCTTGGCTGCGCCCCCAGCAACCACCGAGTCTCCTGGATCGATGGGAGGCGGGGACAGGCCTCGGATTTCGCCACGCCCGCGACGAATTCTAGGCCCTGCCCCCGCCGCATGGCGAGCTGCCTGGATCGTCGTATCGGTGGGGCTCGGACTTCGCCGCGGAGCGCGGTCTTGGCGGGGAGCTCCCCGCGGCAGGAAGGCGCAGGGGCTTGCACGGCGGGGGCGCGGGCCAGCTGGAAGGGCCGATGCTCGGCGACGAAGCGATGCGGGAGACGGAGGAGGAGCCGAACCCGGGCGCTTGTTCGTGACAGCGACCGACAGCGGCCTCCACACTGCCCATCAGAGAAAAAGCCGGGCTCTTCCGAAGCATAGCTGCGGAGGTGCCCCAAAGCCTCAACCCCGACCAACAGAGGGAAAGAAGAGGGAAGGGAGAGGAGAGAGGCGAGCGATGGAAGAATGGAGAGGAAAGGGGGAACAAGAAGAGCAGTGGAAAAGGGGCCGTCTCCACACCCTGCGTTCCGTACAGAGGAACTCACTGCAACCCAAAGACACGCTCGAGATGGCAAGGCCTGCGAGTGAACTGATTCAGACGCCCAAAACGACAGGGATCCCGCCCAATCTGCCAACCGCCTCATGTCAGCGCAGCGCGAAACTACGAGACCCTGGAGGACGGAAGGAATGGTAGCGGCTGCCCAAGCGGAAGACAAAGTTGGACACCGAATGCGTGCCAACCCACCTAGGTCCACAACGTCCAGGTCATTGCCACCACCAGAGTTATCACATTTTGGCAAGCGCATTCCACTACTCGCAAAGTACCTACTCGCAAATGGCCTGGCTCCGCCGCGGGGGATCTACGACTCAATACATCGAGGCAAGCATGTCTTTCCCTGACGATTGCGACTGGGCACTTTGCGAGTAGTGGGACGCGACTGGTGAACGTGTTCTGCTCTGCCACTGGTGAACGCTCAAATCGGTAACTCACCAACCTCACGTCAAACATGCATGTCAAAATGAAGGAGCAGTCGGGTGGATGCCGACGACGAGACGAACGAGATGAAACAGTTGGAAGAAACAGGAGAAAGGTTGAGGTTAACCACGACGACGCGAAGGGAACAAAGGAGAAGGAGGAGAGATGAGAACGAGGAAACCAGGCAGGTAGGATAAGACTGCATGCCTGCACCCTGTCAACGATCCCGCGGGAAAGGCTGTGCGAGGGGACAGTGACGAGCGCCGCGCAGCCTTGACGCAAAGAGTGCCTCCTTCATGACGGCGGGGCTGTCCTGCCCGGCCAATGTAACTTCACGCGCACGTCAAGATCAACCCACTGTGGGAACGCTTCTGGCTGGAGCAAGACAGAGACACGAACAACACACCGCAGTAACACCCCGCCAACCCTTTAGACGTAGCCAGCTTCGCGTGTCAACTCTTCCACCCCACCTCCTACACCTTCGGGGAGAGGGTTGGTTCCCCCCTGCGCCCCCATCCTCTTCCCTGGGTCTGGAGCGGAGGGCGGGGCCGAGGCGTCAGTGGGTCTGCTTTGGGCCAACATGGCTCAAAGGATGGCTTGAAATACCCAGAGATTGCGTCCAAGATGGCGCAAGATTGGCCAAGTTGGGCCAACCCGAACATGCCTCCCAGAGGCCGCAGGATGCTTCCGAGGCAGCTCCGAAGGGTGACGAAGCCCCCCATAGACGCCCCAAGGGGGGCCAAAGTAGTCACTTCATAGAATAATCCCCACGATGTGGGGGGTCTCACCTTTTCGCTTCTGGTGGGCCTCATGAAGCCGGAACACGGCCCCTGGAAGGCCCAATCAATACACTTAGCCCAAAGACAAGTCCAGAAGAGTTTCAAGACGGCCACAAGGGCCCACCAGAGCACCCACGAGCGCCCCAAGAGTGCTCCCAGAGGCAACGATTCGCCCTCCGACATCAGGGGGGCTCCCTCGAGGACCCCCTCCATCCCAAAATTGTGATCGATGGTCCTTCGGACCCGCCCATTCGAGCGAGCCCCGAAGGGCCCCCACTCTCAGCTTCTTCACACCGCTCAGCTGCCACGACGGACTCAAGAGTCCATCAACTGAACGTCCATTCCGTTACCGAGAACTGGGCGACCGGGGAGCGAGCAGACGATAGGGCAACTGATCTCGCTCTTCTTGCCGCTGCATGCTCCTGCCCTCCCCCCCTTTCGCCCTTGCTCCGCGGCTGCACTCTGTCCTCTCTCTCTCTCACTCTCATGCTGCCGGACAATCAGCATGCTTCGCCCAAAGTGCTAGACCGCGAGAGCGGATGGCCTCTGCCACGCCGCGACAAAGGGAGTTCCGACCCGCCCAGGACCACGGTAACTCGCCCATGATTCGTCCCCAGGAGGCTGGCGAAGATGCGCGACGGTTCAAGACCGCCGCAACGGCGTACCGTGCCGCGACCGATGTCCGAATGCGACCTCCAGAGCGCAGCTCAACCAGCGCTGTGAACGCAGTCGGAAACAGCCACAGCGAAACCGTAGAAGATAAGGATGCGCGGCAAGGCTGCAGGGGCCTTGGAGGGGCCATGGTAACGTTTTCCGAGCGCGGCTGGCCAGAGAGGTCAATAGGGATGGGCCGAAGGGTAAGGAGGAGGAGGAGGAGGAGGAGAAGGAGGAGGAGGAGGAGGAGGAGGACGAGGAGAGAGGAGGAGGAGGGGGAGGAGGGGGAGGAGGAGGACGAGAGGAGGAGGAGGAGGGGGAGGTGGAGGAGGAGGAGGAGGAGGAAGAGGAGGAGGAGGAGGAGGAGGGGCCGAAGGGTAAGGATGCAAGGGTAACCTCGGAACGTCGCTCCATCCTTGCTGTGCGGGCTGCGCACATGCAGTTCACTGGTGCAGGAGGAGGGGCCGAAGGGTAAGGATGCAAGGGTAACCTTGGAACGTCGCTCCATCCTTGCTGTGCGGGCTGCGCACATGCAATTCACACGTGCCGCTTCCGAGTACTCCTGACAGTCATGGAAGCGTTTGTGCGGGTGCGGCTGCAGGCGACACGCTCGAGCTGCAGGCAGCGGAGATGCCCAGAGAGCCCGTGGGTTTTCCAGCCAGCGGCCTCGGCGAAATCAGAGCCCTGCCTTGCACTACGCACGCGCAGACTCCCGAAGAGAGTGTATGTGTATCTATATGTATGTATATAGAGATGGCCTCTGCGCAGGTTTTTGTTCTCATGCTCCCGCACCCGGAGAGAGCTTGAGACGGAGAAGCTTCGACATGTCCGGGATCGTGCAAGCCGTGCGGAACAAAAACAAAAAAACGGCATGGATGCACCCTGCGAACTCGGCGCGACCCGCTGCGGGCGAGGCGGCTGGGCGCGCACCGCGCTGCCTGCCTGCACGCAGGCGCGCACGTTCGCTTCCCGCCCCTCTCTGTCGGGTCGGACGCAAAGGGGGGCGACCCAGTGGGAGAACGTTCGTCACGCAGCATGGGGAAGAACGGGACGACGTTGAACACGTTCGACATCGGTCGGAGGAATGGGAAGACGCTCAACGCGTAGATTTGGGGGGGCCACCCGTGGATCGGAAGACGTTCCCCACGTTCCACTGTTGAACGTCTGGAACGCTGTTGAACGTTCCACACCGTTGGAGTTCCCAGTGTGCTACGTGCTGAACACGTAGCACATTGGGGAACTCCGGCCTCTGGGCGTCCTGGCCTTCTGGCCCTCCCACCGGGCCTCTGGGAGGCCTGCCGCCGCCGCGGCCCGGCGTGCCCCCGTGGCCGCATTTTCCAGCAGCAGCGCGACTCGGGACGAGTCCTGGGGCCGATCTGGGAGGGAGGCGAGCCCGCACGTGGGAGTACGGCTGCTCCTTTGCAGGTTTTCTCTTCGGCACCGCCTGTACTCTGAGCCCTCTGGCCGCCTGAGGCCCTGCCCGCCCGCGCCCTGTCTCCCCAATTAGGGCTACTCGCGTCCCGTTTGGCTCTTGACAAAAGGGGCCCGCTCCCCACCCGCAGACCAAACAAGTTTCTTTGCAGGTCCCCGGCTTCTCCCCCATGGGAAGACGTTCCACACGTTCAGCACTCGGCGGGGGAATGGGAAGGCGTTCCACACGCAGAGGCCCCCGCCCCCCGAAGGGTAGGGACGCGGGAAAGCCGCTCGAGGACTGGACGCAGGAAGGTGCCCAAAACGGACTGGGATCTGGGAAGCCAAACGTTCCCGCTCTGGGCGGCTGGTGGGCATCGGGGGGACGTGAGACTCTGGTCAGGGGGGGCCCGGGTTGGCCTGACGGGGCCAGCATGGAAATGACGAGACGCAATCTGCAATGTGACGCGAACGCCAGACATCCCGCGAAAACTGGACCCCGGCAAAATCCAAGATGCGCTCGAGCGCATGTCTTTTCTCATGGCCATAACGGGGGGTTCTGGGGGCGAGGCGAGGGGGGGGCGGGGGGACGGGAAGGGGCATAACGTATCGCCCCCCCCCCCCCCCCGGCTGTGGTGCCGGACGCACTGCGGCACAGCCGGGGACGCACGCACTGAGGGAGGGAGAGCCAAGTGATTTGGGGGGGTGGAGGATGGAGGGGGGAGGGTAGGGAGAGCACAACGCGCGTTATGGTCCAGAGTTTTTGTTTACATGTGTATATATACACACAGATATGTATATATACATATATATATATATATATACATATATATATATATATATATATATCTTCGTATTACGGTTACTATTCTTAGTATTGTTTGAAAAGAAACAAAAACAACTCGACGAAAAGCGTCGGCGAACCCGAGTTCTCACGCACTCGAGCCTGACGTTTCCCCGATCCCCCCCCCGACGCGGCTACCGCCCGGCTCGCCCGGTATAGCGAGGCGCGCCCCCTCTGAGACGGGAGGCTCCCGAAGGCTCCTCGGACGCCTCCCGCCACTCCTGTCGGAAGCTGGGCGAGGCCTGGGCAAATCCGTTGCTGCCAATGCCGTGCTCCCGGAAGAAGAGCGCACATTCCCGGCATAAAACTCCGCGCGCTGAGCCATAGACGGGCTGCTTGCCAGAACAGAGAAAAAACATCTCCCATAACTCCGTGTTAGCGGCCACGTGTTTGCAGCCCTCGCCTGAGCTCTGCTCCTCCTCGTCCCCCCCGTGGGCCCCGTCCAAGGTTAGGTCAGGCCTGTCCTCCTACAGGGGGATTTGGACGGAAGAAAGTACACCAAAAATATCCAACAATGGTCAAAAAATGCTAGAAACATCGTCCCCAGACCATTGTTTGACTATTCCCGCTGTAGAGGGACAAGCCCGACTCAAGTCCAAGGACGCACGTGGACAACCACGACACGCGCTCGCCAAGCCATACGGGAGAGCACGTGCAGGAAGGGCTGGTCGGGGAATGCGTCGGACGTTCGAACTGGAACGTGAGCGTTCCGCCCACGCGTTCGGAAGGGCAGCGTGACATCGGTTCGGCAGCGTTGCATCGGTTCGGCAGCGTGCCCCCCCCCCCCCACACACATACACACACACACACGCACACACACATACACATACACACACACACACAAGCGGCAACGTGGTTATGTTGTTCACGCCCATGCCAGCCACATCGAACATATCCGGCTTCCTTGTGCGCCTGTGCCTGCCCATGATCCTGCCCCTCCTCCGACAATTCGTAAACGTGCTATTGTTAGTTTGGTGCTGATTATGCAGGGCTCCGACCTTTGGCCGAAGAGTGGGGGGGCCTGGGAAGGGGAGGGGGGGCTGGGCCTGGGCCAGTGCTTCGCCGAGCTGCTTTTACTAGTCGCGCAAGAAAGCCGGGAGGGGGGATGCTGACCAGTCGCTGAAAAAAAACACCCTAGATCGGGTCGATGGGTTGGGGAAAAGAAGGGCCTGGGGCCTGCGCCGATCGGCGACAAAATACCCATCGGTCGGAAGAAGCAGGTAGAAACATGAAGAAAGAAAACGTTACAAATATATTGGGTTTCCGTCCGTCACCTGAAGAGGACGGGGAAAATGAAACCACTCGATCATTGAAGTAGGGAGACGCTTAAAGCAGGTTGGAAGCTGATACTACAAGAAATACCGACCGTCAAAAACGGACGGGTACAACAAACAACTGTTCATCCACCGTCTGCATCCCGCTGCTCCTCACGCGCATCCTCCTCCCGCTGCTCTCCCTTCTCCTGGCCGTCGCAGTCCTGCTGCTCCTGGTGATGCTGCTCCTCCTCCTCCTCCTCCACCTCCTCCTCCTGCCACTACTCCTATTACTACTGCTAATAGGGCTACGACTGCGACAACGACAACTACTAATACGACTACGACTACTACTAATACGACGACGACGACG